TTTTCGTGATGTATTACCCTCTATTCGGCTTGTGTTCCAAGCGCGCACACTGCACTGGCTAGACACAAATATGAGACTTGAATGCATTGTATCCGATCCTCGGCTATCTTCATCCCCTCCTTTGAACTTGCATGCAACCTGGAGGCATATAAGACCGTTGTGTATTCAAGTGTATCCCCGTTTGTAGGTCTTACACTGTTCAGTCCCCAATAACTGTACACACCTATGATAATTCCTCTCCTCCCAAGGACCGAAGCTGCTGATCCAAGCTTCATGATTCCTCTGGTTTCAACCTTAGGAATAGGTGATGGAGTGCAAGCTGCAATAACGACCACCTTACTGTATGATACAAGTGTGACCATTCCATTCAAATTCTATGTATTGGACAAATACTCAACTTGTAATAGTGCTTACACTGGATAAGGAGGTAAATAATTATTTGGGATCTGTTCTGGTCCATGAGTGACATGCTTTGTTCATAGGTCAAATATTTCTGGGTAAGCAACTAGTCTATATCATTTTCTAGAAACATTACACAAATATTAATGGGTCATTCTATTGTAGAAATTGCCATGCAAATTCGTAAACGTGCTTTACTTCATAGTGCGTTCATGTTTGCCTTGTAACTCCATCAACTAATTTTACTTGTTTTAAGAATCGATACATTGGAATATTTGGCTCTGTTTCGGAGTTGCTTTGTGAGTGGTACTTCTTGACATATATTATATTTATCCAATAAATGACATTGGCCTTTGAATCCTAATAGTGTATTCAAATCACCAGGACAGAATGCTGTGTGTCACTAATTTATTTTACAAGATGAAGGACAGTAGGACTGACATATTTGATAGGTGTAAGTGGAAAGACTTTCTGCTTAGTATTACTGTAACTGATTAATGTCTTACAGGCACTGCCATCCGTTGGAGTATAGACATTTCTGGTAATAGTCTGTTATTTTATTCCATAGTGTTGATAATTGAGGAATTCCAGACTGGGCATCGACGGCTTCAGTAAACTGTAGGCATTCAAGTCTCTTCATGAGTTAATACTCAGCTGACAATACTCATAGATATACTTATGGTCCTAGTTATAGTGCTTTACTCAAAAGGTAATCCAGTAGATTTCAGAGAAGTATCCTCTCACAATTCTTACAGGGAAAGCAGTATCAATTTTCTTGAAGGCCTTTTTTGCAGTAGCAGCGTCCTTTAGTTTTGTCTGTATTTGTTATACAGATGTGTACACAGACTGTAAGCTTCATGATGCATTGTCTAAGTGCTGTAAATTTCATCATACGTAACAGATGAGATTTCTCGAATGCCAAACGGCTCGTCATTCTGTGTATTGGGAAGTCGTAGTAGCCCTCGGTACTGGCCAGTCGCACTAACTGACTGGTATGTTGATCTAAAACGCTCCTACATATTAGCCGCTCAATGAGCGTAGGTTAATAGAGGCAGCGTATATGGCCGTCCTTTTAATGCTTACGCTTTTCAAGGCATTCAAAATTTGGAAGGCAAACTTGTATCGACGAGGATTTTCCCTTGCGAAGACTCTTGTACAAAACCAATCCGTCTTCATTCTTCTGTGAGTCTGTGTTTTTGTGTATTCGAAAACTGACTCACAACGCATGCAGAGCTGTTGTCTGTGCTACGATTAATATATATCCGTATTACAAATCGGTAACAAGTCTTGCCGGGATGGAAGTCGTTCACCTCCTTGGAAGCCAATCCTTGCTCTGTCTTTTGAGCTGTAGATTACTCATTAACTTGAAGGAGTCGGGAGAGCGACAAGCCGATGGAGGAACAGCATGTCCATCCATTTTGGGAAGCACGATTCGGTTTGCTAGTTAAGCATTTTTGTAGGATAAAAGATGATATACGATCGAATGCACATTCATTCTTTAATGTATGCTCTATAGTTCCTTTCGTTCAAGGGTAACTCTCCTCTGTATTTATATTCCCGATTCCTAACCACTATACCGCTGGCCACCTTTTTTTATACATACTTTTCTTGTTGAGTATGTAAGAATAGAAGTACACAATAGATTTAGCTTCTTCGGTTTTTCTTGCCTTTGAACCAAAGAAGATTATTTTAATGTCTGACAGGTAAGACATTACATTGTTGCAAGATATTGCATCTGTCTGTATCATTTCCATACAATGTGTATTGTACTGTAGAGTCAAGTATAGTATACATCAGCACTTGCTAAAAGCATTTGATTGTTTACAATCTTTATTACTGTAATAATTAATTGTATTAGCACACTTTAGTACTTTCACCCAGCTATTGCTAGTTTTGCTAAAAGTCCTTCTATTTTTCTGGAGAACTGACATTCCTTATGCTCTTTTTTATACTGTCTAGCCTTGTCTAAAACATCACGAAAAAGTCGCAACAAATGTATTTAATAATAGCAAAAGTAAACTAATAAAATTATTTTATAAGCATTACATTCTAAAATAATACTTATATTTTACTTGTAATGTAATAATAATGCTTGTATATAAATGTAAGAAATATACAAAGTTTCTATTAAACTACAAACATGTTTTAGAGCAAGTAAACTTACTAATAGTATTATTACAACATTACATGTAAGGTACAAGTACTCAACTCTTATTATAATCTGTTAAAATTATATAATAAGATATCTACAATAATAGTTGATAGATTATAATAGTTATAAAAATATTGTATTGTGCTTGTAAGTTGATTATAATACTTTTAGTAAGATAATATGCAATTATATATATTAATATTGTTAACAATCACCCTGTTAGACTTAAAATATAATTTAGTTTTACTTTTAAACTGTATATCGAAGTGCTTACATAATTGAGTACCGAAGATCGAGAGCATATATTGACTGGGGGTCCGCTTTTCGGTTGTACGACGCGGTCGTTCCCACGGTTTCAAAGTAAGTGATCCATCAATTAGGTCAGCGTGCGGTGTGTCCGGCCTCTAGATACCTTGCTGCGAGAGCATTTTCCACTCTCCACATGTAATTTAAAATAGTAAAATAATAATAATAATAATTTCGAGATAGTAAAGAAACTTTTTACAGAGGGAAATTAAAATTTATTAAAAATTGAGCGAGAAACATTAAAATTACACACAAAACTACTAATATCTTCGTGAATAATTTTTTATAGCTAATTTCCTTCTGTAATTCTTCTTAGAATAGATTTACATGAATTATGATCAACTTTAGAAGCGTTAACCTTGATTGGATCTGTGGGAAGTAGAAGCAGAAGATTTACCTAAGGGCATACAGTCTCGCGCGTCTGGACGCAGCAGATTTCAATGTAGCCTGGAGGATTAAAATGACAGAATTTGCAATTTTAATTTGTACGCCCACTGGTAATTCTCAAAAAAATAACTAAAATAAACTACATGAAACTAACTACTAAATAATAGCCATGGTAGCTTCAAGATCACGCAAAAAACAATTAAACGGAGCAAGAAATCACCTTTGCCTCAATACTTTAGGCCCTCTGCCTCCTCCTGTGCCGGAATCGCGCAGAACAAGGTCTGCAGCCTGTTCGGCCGCAATGAAAGAGTTGGAAGACACAAGAAAGAGCTTAGAACACACAACGAAACTGCTCGAGTGTCGAGAAAAACTCACCTGCGATTATTTACGGGTGATCAGTAACCTCCGCAAGCGTGTCACCGAAAGCAGAGATAGTTCCAGTACTCTTACAAAAGTGGTCAGAAAACTGCGCATCGAACTTAAAGAGAAGCAGGACTTACTGGTATCACTGGAATCGAATCGTCTGGACTCGGAGCACACTATGGAACATTGCAGTCGTCTAAAGGCTCGTTTGGAGACATGCACACGATCCCTTCGCCGTTTGAAGAATTCTTCGGCAAGATTAGGTCAGAAACTGAGAGAAAGGGATAATAGGCTGGTACTCACAAGTAAGGAGCTCCTTGCTGCGAATTCTAGGGCCGAAACGTGCAAAACTACTCTTTTACAAGTGCAAGACGAACTTCAGGTGGCATACTCCCGTCTGGAGAGAATGCAACCGTCCCTGGACATGCAATCGTCAATTTCGGATGCATTACGCTCGAGCGAAGAAAAGCTACGTACCGAGGTTGCAATAATTCGTAAGCGGTGTGATGTGTATCGGAAACGTCTTCAGCGGGCCCTAGCAAAGATCAAAGAAAACGAAAAATTCAAAAACGAAATGAAACGCACCTCGAACCTCGTAGAAAAGGGCCGGTATACCCCAAAAGTTCGTGCACTCGTGCGCGAACTTGTTAGCTATGGGTGTCCAATGACGAAGATCGGAAAAGTAATACATACCTTCATGCGGCTTTTTTTCTCTCCAGTCCAGTCTTCCCGAGCGAAATCCAGAGGACCTATGCACGAGCGAACGGTCTCTCAGATTGTTGAAGAAGGCAGCGTAGCAGCTGATATACAGTTAGGTTATGAAATAAGCGTATCACCAGGTAATTGAACGCACGATTCGCATTTGGGATGCTGAAATCGAGTGCATATACCCACTTTAATAGCTTGTACGACGGGTTCTGACGGTACCACTCACCGAAATCAAAACTTCGAGGCCCTACACATTAATTTGAAAGCCCCGCAATCGTACGGCGATGAAACTTCTTCTGCCCTTGAGCAGAAAGTTCGTCTAGTGGGTGTAAGGATGTCAGCAAATCATCGAGCCGAAACGCAAAAAAACGGAGACTTAACAGCAATAAAAGAAGTGCTCACTGTATATCGAGATTCTCCACTCGCCGAGAATGGAGACATCCCGAAGGAACGTCTTAACGAAAATTTCATTGCGTTGAAACTAGTTGGTACGCACGGGGACCATGCGGAAGACCAGAAAGCAAAACATCGTCAGCTCGGCGAGTGGAAAAAAGAAAGAGTGGGACTTGCCTTGGGAGAAAGAACATTTTATGACTTACCTGAGGAAGAACGCAAAGACATTCTTGCCAAAGCCTTGAAGGAAAAAATCGAGGAGCTCGGCGGAGAGAAGGTCTGGGAGGCTCTTGCAGAGAAGAAGAAAGAGGAGCACAAAATCGAGTGTAAGAACGCGATTTTGTATGAGCTAGGCGGCGAGACGTACCTAAATCTTCCGGAGGAGGATGGTATAACTTGCAATCTCTGGGTTCGTGCAGGATGCGGTATGCATAAAGATTTGAACGCATCAAAAGGGGGATCTACGGGCTTGAAGAAAATGTGGGAGATGATGAGATTCGGGCCCGTTCAGCTCATGAATAAAGAAAACGATGCGGCTCACCAATTGGCGGATGGTGACGCAGAAGATCCAGCGGCGAATCGAGCAGTCGAGGTATCAACTGGCGGTGCGGCAAAACTCGTCTCTCTGATGGGTGCACTATTAAATCACAAAGACGATAAAAAGGGACAGCATGATACCTTCCGGAGCTACGTATTGCAGAAGGAGAACCGTATTTTTACGTTCCCTGATACTTCAAATACGCGATATTCGTCGAATCTTGAGGCGGCGGCGGAGGTTATCTCTCGACTCGATTTCTATGTTGACTATATGCACTTTATTCGCGATTCGAAAGAAAAACCTGGCCTCAATCATCTCGAGTCGAATATCCTAAAGGGATTACATGACTTACCTACACGTACCGAGCTGGCCGTATTTGCCTTATACCTGGAAAGCGTGTCGTATCCATACATCCGGGAGCTTCGTAAGTCTGGATTGGAGGATATGAATGCGATGGAATGCGGTCCGCTTCTTGCAAAACTGAAGTCTCACGTCAAAAAACTTATTAACTTACCTGGGCTAATCCTGAACTCGGACTCGAATCCCCTAGAGGCAATATTTCTTGCAGACGAGGCTAAGCAACAGCAATACGACATTGAAATCGTCTCAGGTCATGAGCTCCTTGATGGACCGGTGGACGTCAACGCACTGTCATCTGTTGAGTGGAAGAGGCCAGACGCAATGAAGGCAGTATGGGTAATGGCAGAGCATCTCCCCCATCTTCGCGATGCTTTTGTGGCATTCTTGGAGGCGTCTCTGACAACTTGGGAGAGATTTAGTGAGGAATATGGTGAAAACGGAGAGATCAGTCGGCTCACCAAAGAAGAAAAAGCAAAAGCCTGGATGCCAGCAACTAACGATGCGAATGAAGGGGCTCTAGGGGCGTACAGAATATCTGCCAGAAATCATCCGTCAATGAACACCGAGACTTTCAATGCAAAGGCAAAATACTCACGGAACGACACTGAGGACTTCATTGAAGCTAAGCTTGCCGGAGACGAAGAACAAGCTTATCTTCGCCAGGTTGCGCGGGATAGACTTCTTGGGAAACGAGATAAAAAACGAAGAGTCGACATTTCCGAGCAGCACGAAGCAGAAGTTACAGCAAAGCGGCAGAGGATCCAGGAGCGGAAGGACGAGCAAAGCAGACGGTCAGAGTATCTTGAAGAATTAACACTCGAATTGGACGAAGATCGAGTGCGACAGCTCAAGGTGCCTCAGCTAAAGGAACAACTTGACAAATTACGAAGGTTCGACAGAGATATTCCGAAGGAGAAAGACATAGGGAGAAAGGACGAGAGGCTTAAGGTATTACTAGATGCACTTGGTAGATACAAGAATCGTAATGTATAAATTAACTCACTCGTTCAATATAACAAAAAACAAACTACATATTCATATTCGCACAAGAAAACAGCTATATAATATCAATTTTAAATCTTCAAATCCTCTCTATTTAATTAATTATGAGTGTAGTAAGATATGTATGCAACACACTATATATATGCACTTGAATCCGTCTGTTTTCACACAAATTTGATATTTTTTTTTCAAAAAAGGCATACATAATAGTAAATAGTATCTAAACTAGTGAAATATACAAAATTTTAGTCTAGATTTGCTCCGTTGTATTTTCTACATTAAATACAAGGAGGGCGGACACTCTGTTCACCACATTTCGACTGAAAAAGGGAAATTTTCAAAGTCCGCTCGACCGCGTCTCATAACCAAAAAGCGGACCCCCAATTATTGACGCACTTGCTCTCGTCACTCCTTTCCCTCCTACCTCCACCATCTCCCCCAACCCTCTTCCCCCAACGCT